GTTCCCTGCGCATGCGCAGGGATACGCTCTGTGACTTTTGGGGGGATTTAAGTATCCCCCAATTTTTTTTTCAGGTTTTAAGATTTTTGTGCACGACTGCCCCACGTGTTAACAGAAATCTCCCTCCCCCTCAGGTGCCCCCGATGTGAGGAAATAAGTATCCGCACACCAGTGGGCAACTTGGCTATTAGATATATAGATATGGAGCAGAGGTCCATCAGTGGCTATTAGCCACAAGGTATAGATAGGGATTCTGGGGCAAGGGATGCTCTGTCTTCTTGGTGCTTGGGGGGGGGACAACAGTGGGAGGGCTTCTAATGTCCTGGCCCCACTGATGGACCTCCTGATGGCACCTGGTATTTTTGGCCACTGTGTGACACAGAGTGTTGGACTGGATGGGCCTTTGGCCTGATCCAACATTGGCTTCTCTTATGTTCTTATAACACAGGGGGGGGGGGCACCTGAAGCAAGAGGGACCATCAAGTGACGAAAATGACAATGCAGAACAGCCCAATGTTGTCACTTCCAGCGCGCCCCGGAACCAACACTGCTGTGTCACTAGTGACACTGCCCCAGCGCCAGGCTAGCCCCCCCCCCACACCAGGAAGCCCTCCCACCGGTTGCAAAGGGGGGACCTAGCAACTATACCTGTATTACATGTGCTGCTCAAGCTATGTCTAGATCAGTTCCAGGAGGATCCACTAGGAGGTGCCGGTGTCCAAAGTTTAGCCACCCCCTTTTCCCTGCAGGTTCTCAGGTATTCCCCTGACCCCTTTCCCGAGTTCACCCTGAAAAGAAATATCTGCATCCCTTCCACAGGTGCCTCGTGTCTGGCCCCTGCAGCTCCCGCTTAGAGCGCCTGACGGCTCTGTGAGTGATGATAGCGGCTTCTGTTGAGCCTCCGCCCCCGTCCGACAGAAGGGGAACAGATGCTGAGCCAAACATTCCAGTCTAATGGGCTCGTTTTGCACGGACTTGCAGGACGCCCTGCCTGGAATCGGTGCCGTTTCCAAAGGTTGCAGAGGAGAGGAAGCGCAAGCGTCTCTTTCTATCTATAGACCGAAACGCTCAAGCCCTTTCCTTTCAGATGGAGGATCGGAACTGCAAATCACCAGGTTTGTTTCTGAAGGGCCCTCACGGAGACTGAAGAGTGCGCCGTGCGCTTTATTAACCACATGAGCACGTATACGCGGGAAGGGCCCGGGAAAGTCACAGTCGGGATGAACGTTTGTCTCAGATTCTCAAAAGGGAAGTGACTTCAAGAATGATGAAGATTCATGATAAAACATAAATTTGGAGATACTCCAACCTGAACTATACAGAATTTGACTCTTGTCGGGAAGCAGAACAGAAGATTTTAACGATTTGACTAAGTGATATGAGCTTTAGCAATTCTATAAAGAAATAGAACTGGAAGCAAAGAACTAAGACCGAAAACTTGTAACAGCTGTTATATAAATTTGATGGAATCCTCCTATATGTCTTATCCCCAGAGGTCATTTCGG